TATCTATCTATCTATCTATCTATCTATCTTTTTCTATCTATATCTATCTTTTTATTTCTATCTATTTCTATCTATCTTTTTGTATCTATTTCTTTCTATCTATCTATCTATCTATTTCTATCTATCTATCTTTTGTATGTATTTCTATCTATCTATTTCTATCTATCTTTTACTATCTATTTCTATCTATCTATCTATCTATCTATCTTTTTCTATCTATATCTATCTTTCTATTTCTATCTATTTCTATCTATCTTTTTGTATGTATTTCTATCTATCTATCTATTTCTATCTATCTTTTACTATCTATTTCTATCTATCTATCTATCTTTTTCTATTTCTATTTCTCTCACTCAGTCACCCACACTCACTCAGTCACTCACTCACACTCACTCAATCAACCACCAACACTCAGTCACCCACCCAATCTCAGTCACTCACCCACCCACCCAATCTCAGTCACTCACCCACCCACCACCAACACTCACTCAGTCACTCACCCACCCACCCACACTCACTCAGTCACCCACATTCACTCACCCACTCACTCTCTCACCTACACCCACCCACAGTCACCCTCAGTCGCCCACACTCAGTCACAAAAAAAGGTTACTTACAGTTTGGATCCTGCCCTCCTGCTCGGTCTCTGGTATTCAGCCTGTCAGCTTGATCCGACGCTATGTGCTGGAGATCTTATCTCCCACACTGTTGGCTCTTCATTGCTGACAGGCTCTGGGGTTACTACAGGACCAGTGTCGGCTCTAGACTTGGCGAGGCCTTAGGCGAAACTCATACATGAGGCCCCCACTAACACCATTATTGGAAAAAAACAGCAGTTGACTTGTGTGTGTATAAGAAGCTGTAGATATATTGAAGGGCGGGCTTGCAGTACTGGATATAGAGAACTAGTCTTTATATACGTCGTTGCATTGTCTACCTGTGTGTGTCTGAGAGTGTGTGTCTGGCAGTGAGTATCTTTGTATATGTATGCATGTTTCTCTGAGCATGTGTATGTTTGTGTTACTGCCTGTGGCCTTTGGCATTAAGTTCATGGCGAAGCTATGTTTTATGACAGTGTGTAGAATGATTGCCTTCAGGGGGTGACAGGGTGAGTAAAGGAGTAACTGTGGCAGGGTGATTGTAAAAAGAGCAGGAGGGTGCCAGAGTGCGGAGAGTGGTGCCCGTGTGTTTAGAGGGAGAGATAGTGTGTATGGAGGGGGGTGACAGTGTGTGCGGAGAGAGGTGACAGAGTGTGTGGGGGTGACATAGTGTAGGGAGGTGGCATAGTGTGAGGGGGTGGCATAGTGTGGGGGGTGACAGAGTAAGAAGGGGGTGACAGTGTGAGAGGGTTACATTAGTGTAAGGGGTGTGACAGAGTAAGAGGGAGTGACATTCGTGTAAGGGGTGTGACAGAGTAAGAGGGAAGAGACAGAGGGGGGAGACCTAGTGTGAGGGAGGGTGACATAGTGTAGGGGGGGTGACAGGGTGAGAGGTGGTGACAGAGTGAGAGGGGGTGACAGTATTAGGGGGTGACAGTGTGAGGTGGGGTGATGGTGTGTGGGGAGTGACAGGATAAGGTGACAGAGTAAGGGGGGTGACAGTGTGGGGGGTCACAGGGTGGGTGACACAGTAAGAGGTGGGGTGATAGAGTGAGGGGGTGACAGGTGAGGTAGCAGGTTGAGAGGGGGTGACAGGTGGGGTGGCATGGTGAGTGACAGTGTCAAATGTGGGGTGAGAGGGGAGGCAGGGTGAGGGGGTGACAGTGTGACGTGGGGTGACAGTGTGTGGGGAGTGACAGGGTGAGGTGAGAGTAAGGGGGGTGACAGTGTGGGAGTCACAGGGTGGGTGACAGTAAGAGGTGGGGTGACAGGGTGAGGGGGTGACAGGGTGAGAGGTGGGGTGAGGGGGGTGACAGGTGGAGTGGCAGAGTGAGATGTGGGGTGAGGGTGGTGACTGGGTGAGAAGGGGTGGCAGGGTGAGGGGGTGACAGGCTGAGAGGGAGTGACAGGGTGAGGGGGTGGCAGAGTGAGAGGGAGTGAGGGATGACAGGTGGGGTGGAAGGGGGATGACAGAATGAGAGGTGGGGTGACAGGGTGAGGTGACAGAGTGAGAGGGGAATGACAGGGCAAGGTGGCAGGGTGACAGGTGGGGTGGCATTGTGAGAGAGGTGTGACAGGATGAGATGGGGTGACAGGGTGAGGTGGCAGGGTGAGGGGGTGACAGGGTGAGAAGAGAAGGAAGGGTGAGGGGGTGACAGGTGGGGTGGCAGGGTGAGAGGGGGTGACAGGGTGAGGGCGTGGCAGAGTGAGGGGGAGTGAGGGATGACAGGTGGGGTGGAAGGGGGATGACAGAATGAGAGGTGGGGTGACAGGGTGAGAGGGAGGTGACAGGGTGTGACAGGTGGGGTGGCAGGGGGTGACAGGGTGAGGTGACAGAATGAGAGGGGAATGAGAGGGCAAGGTGGCAGGGTGAGAGGTGGGCTGGAAGGGGGATGACAGGATGAGAGGTGGGGTGGCAGGGTGACAGGGTGACAGGTGGGGTGGCAGTGTGAGAGAGGGGTGACAGGATGAGATGGGGTGACAGGGTGAGGTGGCAGGGTGAGGGAGTGACAG